CCACAAATAATCTCTTAAATTGTATATCTAATTTTTCGATTTAGTTTTTTCTACCCCATATCGACGTGCGCTTGAGAGCTGTTTTCATGTACGCTTGTCATATTAACTACATTCCATTGAAATTTGTGAATTATCTGAAATGCTTCCAGCAAATTCTACAGAAGTTGCCGTAGTTCTCATCACTGTGTGTATGTATGGATCTGGCCATTTAAATGTTTAAATATGCAGTTTTAGCACGCTTAAGACCATAGGTGACGACATATTTATTTATTTGTGACATTGTCACAGTAAACTATCGGTATAGTTACGTTTCCATAAATCATGCAAGTTTCTCAAAATAGAAGCTATGTGGATCAATATTTAACTTAGCACTACGTCGTAGTCATTTATTTTTTGAAGTGGTGGTTCATTGAATAATGGTGTTTTAACGTACCATAAACTAAAGAGAGAGGAGTGTTATCTTCACAACCTAAAACTACTACCGTTTCAACGTCAACACTTTGAGTCCTCAGGGAATCTTTTGGAAATAAACTTTTAATTCAACTTAAGCTGATCACATACATGTGTTAAGTTTATTGAATGGAACCACATTAATCGAATTTAAGACCTTTAACTCATCTTTTGTTATTATACGCTGATGATGTTATCTTGAGAGAATTATCAGGAGACGCAGATGCATGCGCACTTCAGGCACACTTAAATATTATGACTAGCTGGTCTAAAAATAGGTTAATGCCTATCAGCACGCCAAAGTACGTCTGCATGCACGTTAGGGTTACAAAAAAATAGGTACAACAAACGGGAAGCACTTGCACCCGTAGTTCAGTCGTACAAGGATCTTGAGATGATAGTGAGTCGTGATCGCAAGACCACGGCCTACTGCCGGGAGGTTGCAGTTAAAGGGTTTAAAACCCTATAGACTTTAAGACGGACATTCACCAAGATAGATATTGCCGTGTTCACTACAGCATAAACGACCCTAGTGAGAACTAAGCTTGAAAACTGCGTTCAGGCTGCAAGACTCTATTCAAAAGGTGAATCGGATATCCTGGGAAAAGTATAAAGGGCAGCTGCCCGTACAGTTTCAGAACTCTGGGGTTTACCATACAAAGAGAGGTTTAAAAAACTAGAACCCTTTACTCTATCCTGCCAAAGATCAAGAGATAATCTGATGTTGATCTATATCATATTAAGAAATGATTTTAAACCTGACATATCCTCTGTTTTTCCTTATACCAGAGAACATAGCGGACGAGTAGAAAATCCAAGAATAAACAAAATACCCGTTTTCACAGTGAGTCGTTAATTCTTGGAAACTGTTAAACGAGGCATTGATGTCAGTACATTTAATTGATTCGTTCTAAAGAGGACTAGATACTCATAGAAGCTTACAGAAAAAAGACTAACATATTCTGTGGGCCTTCTGTCCTTACTACACAAATCTGAATCTGATCCACTAACCTCACCAAGTTCACAAGTTTGGTGAGTGTGTTCAGATTCAATCGAATTCGTTTTGGAGTATGGGATTTAAAATTTTACGAAGAAAAAACGTCAAAATGTCTGAGTGAACCCAATATTATAGTTTCAGTGATAAAATAAGGGTCATGAGAATACAGAAGAATTCAAATGGTTCAAATGGTTGTGGACGAAATTGAAGCTTTCGCTCAGTGGGCTTCCGTGTTTAGTAGCAGTAGATCACCAATACCTCCAGGCAAGAGTCTAGGTATATTAACAATAACAGAGGGAAAATGAATTGATAAATCATAGTAAGATATTATCCTTAATCCTTAGTAACAGGTTAAGTTCCTTCTTAAAGAACTCTTGGGAAGTCACTTGGACCAGCTCAGCCGGCAGCGAATTCCAGCATTTGACAACTCTTAAGGAGTAGAAGTTGTGTCTACAGTCCGTTCTGCTGTGTTGTGTTTCTAGTTTCTGGGTGTTTGCCCTTAGATTTGTGTTGAGGCTAAACTTATGTAGATGTTTAAGCGGATGTACAGAAGTGTTAAGGATACTGTAAGCCATTAGGTCACATCTAAGACGCCTATAACCTAATGGGTAAAGGTTTAGTAAGTGGAGGCGCTCTTCATAAGGTTTGAATTTGAACTGATTTCGTGGCTCGGCGTTGAATACGTTCCAGAGTGTCCTTATCCTTTGGGATTGAGAGAGGAAATACTGTGTTTCCGTCCATTGAATAGGGACGAATGATATTGTTGAAGATTTGTTATATCTTGATTGATTTCTTGACATACCGCGTATAACAGAGCCACAGAACACCAAAACTATTCCAAGTCGCAGTAAGAAGACAGAAGACTAACGAAAGGAATATTATTCCAAACAGTGGCAATTATAGTACAAAATTGCCAGGTATTTATAGTTTTTAGTAAGAACGAAATCATCATTACAGTCCACCAATCCACGTACATGGGATTATTGGCATTGACCAATCAGGAGGCTACATATTGAATTCTAGAATATTCTTCTGAAAGCTGATTGGATGGAATATCTTCGGCTCCTTCTGAGCCTCCTACAGCTTCCTCGAGCTCAGCCGTGGTCCGTCGTCACAAGATTATATGGAAAGTTCTTCCATCAAACTGGCCAAAATGAGCTTCAATGTTAGTAGTGCAAGGTTTGCTCGAAAGGCATTTTTGTCACAGTTAGAATAAGACTTCAAATCGTAGGGTACCAGCACTTCTAAAACTTTTCAACTTGAGATACTTTTAGAAGGGCAATCGCCCAAGTTGTAGCTGTAGTCTGCGTTATGTCTGAGATGGAATACTTTACAATTTGAAGTGTTAAAGGTATGTCCGTTATAATTTGCCAATCATGAAGTCGAGTCAGGTCTTCCTGAAGTCCCAGTATATCCTCTCAGTTGCGTAATAAGTCGGACGATACCTGTTGTGAAAGATCGTTTGTATAAGTCAAGAAAAGAAGAGACCCTAGTGCTGAAAATCGGGGGACTCATTAGTATATTCCATAACCTGAAAATGAAGTTAACCCTGACCTTAAAATGTCCATTTCTTAGATATGAAATGAGTCAGTCAATTAGAGGTGATTTGATACCTAATCGTTTAAGCTTATTGGTGAACCTATCAAGAACTTTTGAGAAGTCAAGGTAAATGACGCCAACCTTCTCCTTGCGATCAAGGATGTGTGGAATTATGGTCTACTCTGATATCAGTACTGCTCTAATAATAGACCTAATCCTAAAATAGTAGATTTGTCATGGTATAACTGCTTAATCTATAAAATCTTACGTGGAAGTCACATCATCGTCTACACCAACCCACTGTATCGTAACAATTACCAATACATGATGGAGAACAAGCTTGGGCTAGAGATAAAACAATATGTTTAATACGAACAAAAGGTGTAAGGAAACATTCTGTAGGGACCACGCCTGCAAAGTCGATCCATGCCAACCGATCAACCCTAATTCATTCAACGTCTTGTTCCCGCCTTCTCCATTGTTAGGTCTTTCTCCGCGTTAACTATTGAATATCTATTTTCCGAGTAGTCTTGTGTTCAGCATTGAGGATTGTGTGGTTAGGGCTCAATGACACTACAGATGGTCGTTCATCTGTCCACCGCAGTCAGGAGGTTGGTTATACGAGAATCACTTTACCTGAAACCATGCTGTTGTGGCGAAAATGAGTTTGAGGATTAAAATGGCCGTGTATACCTTCGCATATCAGGGACTCTATAATTTTCGAAGGCATAGAGAGAAGCGCCACCGATCAGTAGTTGGAAGCTTCGCCGCGTCGACCTCCTTCGAAAGTTGGTGATGAAGATGCCACAGGTATTTAGTATTCAATGAGTAACGCCTACTATGGATCGTACCCACCGAGTGAAATCCAAAGACAGAAGCGGGGTGGTTCGAAGTTATATTTGATGGGCTATCAATATATCTAGGATCGACTGATCTGGACTGGTTAGCGAATGCAGGGGTGTTGAGCACGGACTTCCAACTCGTGATCCGGTGCAGATGCGTGACCGAGCGCCTTCAAATGGGTGAGTCTATTAAAAATAATGTGGTCAGCATCCGATGTCGAAGACTTGCAGAGCTATTTATTTGGGGGGTTTATTTACTGCTATAGTTTGATGTGAGTCTGCTTCCAAATATCCGGCAGTTTGCCTCGGCTTAGCGAGTGGGAGAAAATCACACTGCACGGTGTTGCCAGGATTGAAGCTGCTTCCATTAGTTTAGCAGAGTGAACCGTGTCCGGACCAGGAGAAGTGTCTTTTCTTAGGTGCTGCAGTTTCCGGTACACCAAGTCACCGCTCAGGTTCACTTTGGGATGTCCTGTGCAGTTGCAGATGAAGCTTTGATCAATATAGTTAACGTTGGTCGGTTGAAATGTCCAAGAGTATTGTTCAGTCAGAAGGTTAGCGACGTCATCGTTGTCACTGGTCGGGCCATTTGGACCTAGCAGTTGGGAAACTCCAGTTTTGGCTTGTCGAAAAGAGGCTGCATAACGGAATAAGCTTTTCGGATCGTAAACAAATTTATCGATAATCTTTATCTGGTACTGAAGCCTATCTTCTACTATTTTCTGTGTGCATATGCTCCTTATATGTTTGTATTTCTTGTACGCGCCGTTGTTATCTGTCCGTTTGCATTTCGCCCAACAGTGCCTTTTACGGTTTAGCAAACGAAGAGAGCGATTCTTGATGATTTTATGTTGCTTGTAGACTTCGGGGATAATTTGATGAAAAGACTGCTTTTTAGCGCATAAGATCGTGTGCGGTAAGAGTTTCCAATGAGCGTTCACATCAAATTGAGTGTGAATTTCCCAATTCACCTGTTGTAGATAGTCTTGTGAAGCTGAAATATTCAGCCGTTTGAAACATTACTCCTAAATAAACAGCGCAATGATGTCTAAAAATTGTCGAAGTTGTTTTTCAATCCAACTTTTTGACATGAAATAAGACTACCTACTTCGAATAACGTTACTGAAATGCCCAAGAATTGGAAGTTGAATCATCATGGAGGTAGTTGTTCTGTATTCGAAATTTCTGCCATAGTATGAAGAGACATCATAGAGAGGACTCGGCTTCTCGCAGCAAAAAGGCCCGTGCCCCTAGTATATCGGACGAGGAAGGTACTAACGGGTGCATCAACTCTCCGAAGAAGTACAAAAGTCCCCCACGAAAGGCTCTGTTGAGACGCCCTTCACGTGAAGACAGATCAGTTGATAAATATGACCAACAAGGTTCGAGACAAACATTCTTACTTCGACCTAATCCCGCAGCAAAGTTTGTCAGTAGCAACAACTCCAGCCGCTCATTTAACCCCCACAGGTAATTTATAAATGGTGTATCTAGTTTGCGTGAATTGTTCCGAGTACTCAATCGTGTTAGTACCTGTTGCTAACACTTTGGATTTCGGTCATCATTGTTCATATTTCATGCCATTACGTATTTATGTGGTTCACTCATTTTGCAGTCGCTATTGTATCATTTTGTTGTATTACAATCCCAATGTCACTTTCATATTCATCATGCATAGTACATAAGTTTTGTCCTCATTATGGGTTTTAATTTTTCTATGATGGAGCATTTCTTAAGCAATCATGTCTTTTACTTATGACAGTGGAGCAGATTTCCGCCTTGTAGCAGCTACAGTTATTCTTGTCGGAGTGATGGATATTAACGGTCCATACATTGAATGCATTTAAAATTGCTCAAATGACATCATGTTACTTCAATTCGTAATGGAGAGGAGCAAATTGCATTTCATATATATTAAATCGAGATACCTGGAATGATATGTTCTCATCCATATTCAGGCTTTTTAATTTTGAAAATCGAGAAGATATTTCGGGCATTTAAATTGCTAACTCGACCATGTTTGCTAAAATGCGTCCGCCTAAGTGTAGGCCACATTCGCCAAAAATGAAGTTTTTTGTCATGTAAAATCTTTTGATTAAAATGAATATCAAGTTTTCTTAATGAGATTGTTCCAGCAGAACATATGATCATGAAAACCTACATTCTTATGCTATCACTCATATGAAATGCTTGTCCTGCATTAATCTCAACTAATCTGCACAGTTGTCCGAATCGACTTAAGGCATTTGCAATATCATTTGAAATTATTCACTATCTAATAACCACCTCGTATTGCTGGTCCAGTTTAGCTAACAAGTAATTTCATAGATAGTCTCAATTTTAGTGAAGAATAAATAAAATGTATCTCAGCAAAATAATGTGCACATGGTGTCCACAAGTACTAAGATTATAACTAATTTTTAAAATGATCGACGAAAGTTCTGTAAGAAGCATTCAGAATTCAAAAGATGCACTTATAACATCTGGAGAATATTTTGATTGTCCAGTTTCAGTAAGTTCCTTTATGGTAATTTTGTAATTTGTTCAATGCGCAGTTAATTCATACTCTTTGCTTGAAAACGAGTTGTAAAAGCCCTAAGGTACCTAATCAAGCCAGCCTTTCACTTCTATTCATTGTCACTACTAATCTCCGTCTCATTTACCGAACTAAACGCCTAACACATCCATATTGTCCGCTGTGTGGTGTTTTTGTTAGGATTCTTGTCACAAGGTTGGAGATAATGTCTTGTCAAACCACTTCAGGGCCGGCCAAACGAAAACGTGGCATCAGTGCTTAAAGACACTAACTTCTAGTCTGAGCCATGTTGGTAGAGTCAGATTACTTGGTTAAAGTCCGCGTGACTATCGTAACCAATGGTTGGAGACCCTGGGTGACATGGCTCAGAATCGATCACAATGGCGTAGGTGTATACACTCTCTGTCTTCCTTCAAACTATGAGTTTAAAATCGCTTCATATCTTTCTTCCTACGAACTAACTCTTCCTGTACCATATCCTTATATGCAGTCTTTCTTTTATATATTACCACCACTGAACTAACTACTATGAATCCGATGTTCATCTTGCTGCGTTAGTGAGATACGGCAACTTGAACCGATGCACATATGTGCTTGGTCCTACGTTGTAGCTGACTGACTTATTTTCTGATGAGTTTTAATGAATATAAGGATGACAGGTGAGCACCTAAATGGTCACTTTTACATTTAAAAGAAATGTAGATGTTGTAAACTATAGATTTTACCAAGGTAAACTACAGTTCCTATTATACAGTCGAGCTACTAATACGTTATAAATTAAGTTGATAATATAATGAGCTAAATGCTTCATTGTAGATGCTTTAGAATTGTGATGAAACGTCTAGTTTGTCTTTTATCAATGAGTATCACGAAACATAGGGATCATGTCCATATAATCAGGAAACATAAGAAAATGGAATTCACAATATTATCACAAGCACTTCAGTAGTACAATGATTTTATAAGAACTTTTGTTTAGATCTGAACGACTAGTTATGAAGGATGATAAGAAGTCATATTCCTTGGAATCTCAGCAACCGGAATTTCAGTCGACAATCTGGTCATTCGTCAAAGTCTGAATAATGCAATCGATTAAAACTTCAATCACTAGTTTTACAACTGTTTTTTAAGTGATGCAGTGATTTGTATGCTTTTTTGAATGCATTAACTTATTAACTTACTAGATTATTTCAATAAATAAAGTCCTGGAGAAGTTCCTCTTAGTGTTTAATTGTTGTTTTGTGGAAATGCATTCCTTGGTGAAACAATTTAAATTAACAACTATGACTTACTGACAATACAGAACGTCAGGATCTTCGTTCTTAGAAGGGCGTTTCTTATAAAATTATCTGAGAATTTTGTTGTGCCGAAAATATGGAGGTAGTTCTTCAAAAATTATGTTACAACTGTATCATTTTGAAATGCTGAGCTATTCAACTGAAGGATTCACTTCGACATGACACTGTTTGAAACTCAAATAGTGCATGGAATGTAGATTTTGATCATTGTTTTAAGGTCAGTACTATCGGGTATTTCAAAAGTCAAACTGTTTACAAAATTGTCGGAGATAGGTAAAGTTGAAGTAAGTCAGTTTCCTAAACTCATGACCGTTTAGTTCTGCAAGATGAGATACTGTCCATTAATTTTTTTATTCGTTTCAGTTCAAAATAACTTATGAATGGCCTTATTTAACTTCACAATGGCACTCAACTTTTGCAGTTCTAACTATAACTTGCTTATTTCTTTATAAGAGTTAATTTTTGATGTGTAATATTATTTTATAGATGTATATCTTGCGACTGTAATCACCGTAAACCTTTCAGTTCAACTCGATGTAGCGTGACTAAGTTTTGCGTTTTATCAGTAGAGTGAAACTACTTAGTAGAGACCTTGTTTTTGGACAAGGATGTTTATAAACCTCACGAACTTCATACTTTATCAAATTTTTTCAGTAAGGGACATTTTATACGGGTCACATACTAAATTATTTTGAACTAAATGTTAAACCACCGAGTTATATTGACAAGTCTTGTCATCCAGTTGATTTTACATTTAGACTCATATATTTGCTTGATTTATTTTTTCATGCTATTTCAGTGACTACTCAAGTTCACGGAAATCCTATGCGCCATCAAGTGATCGACTATCTAGTCATTCGTCAAAGTCACTGGTCAATTCTTCCAGTCGAGTTAATCCTATGTTGGCGGCAAGTCTTGCATCATCAGGAAAATTACCAAACCTTCCAATTCCTCTTGGGTCCAAACGGGGTTCATCTGCAACGGTTGCGGCCGTAGCCGCAGCTGCGATGAACGCAGCCGCAATGGCTGCAGCATTAGGTGCCGGAGGTGTAATATCGAGCAAACAAATGTCACACATAACTAAAGCACTGGCATCTGCTACTCGGACTGGTCGTGATCACCGTGGTTCATCATCACACAGACCTCCGCGGAGTTCCAGTGATAGGTATACAGGTGAAGATTCAAGAAGCAGTCGTCGAAAAACAACTAGTAAGGAGAAAGATATGCTTAGCATTTTCAATGCTCGTTACGCTCGTCCAGTAGAACATCGCAATCCCGAAGATGATCCTAATGCAACAAGAACATTATTTCTGGGTAATTTGCCACCAGATGTCGAGGAACCTGAACTGAGGAAGCTTTTCGAACGTTATGGTATAATTGAAGATATTGATATTAAGCGCCGTGAACTAGAAACTGGAGCAACCGCATTCGCTTTTGTTCGATATCTTAGTCTAGACATGGCACACCGCGCAAAAGTTAATTTATCTGGACAAATGATAGGTGAATACAGATTCAAAATTGGTTATGGAAAAGTTATTCCCACACGATGCCTATGGGTTGGTGGATTGGGTCCATGGACAAATTATCCTGAGTTCGCAACCCTTGTTAATAGTATCAGCGCGCCTGAAAAAATCATCTGGCCGTCTGGTAAAAACTATGCCCATATTCTTTATAGTGATAGCGAGTCGGCTGCTGTTGCAGCTGATCTTTTACGTGGATATCCGTTAGGAAAAAGTCATAAACGGATCCGAGTGGATTTCACTGATGAGTCACATATGTTCAGAGATCCTAATTGGAAACGGTTGAAAAGAAATTCGTCCACAGAATCAAGTCCCAGACATTACTCATCCAGAAGATCACTGACACCTCGAATAAAACGTGAAGATTCTTTTTCAGACAATGCCTACTCTCGTGATAATCATTACTCGAAATACAAACGCGACCGAAAGACGTATGTTGATAGTGACCGAAGTCATTCTGCTTCGTCAAATCATAGGCGAGAATCTGGCCATAGATCTAGAAAAGCTACACATGAAAGGGCGCCTAAACGTAGTCTAAGAGACCACTCATTAAGTCCTGATGCTGACTCGACGCGTTTTGTTTCACGTTCTCCTTCATCATCAAAATCTCGCAGATATTCATCTTCTTCCTCGAGATCACCCACATTAGAAACATCCACAAACGTAGAACAGTTGGCATCTTGTCTTCCTTCGGCATGGGATGGAGCATTTTATCTAAAGTCGAGTAGTTTTCAGTGCAGAATGCACATTTTGAGAGGTGACAAAAACCTTGTTGATCAGTTCATGTACCAGCGATCTAATTCAGAAGCATCTGCGCATTCAAACGAAACTCGGCATGCAGGTAAAAAGTCGAACAAAGATAAACATACGTCACTGGATGACATTGATTCCAGTGAATCTCAGGATGATGCACATGGTAGCGCTAAAAGTAGTTGTACAAACAAAGACCAGGTGGTTTGTTTACGCATTACTCAACGAATGAGACTGGATCCAGTAAAGTTAGATGACGTGAATCAGCGCATTCAGACAGCCGGTTCCTCTGGGTTTTGCATTCTTTTGGCTGTACCTCCACATTCGGTTTTATGCAGTGAAGTTGGAGATGGCGATAAGCAACCGCAAAGACCGCTTCGAAACCTAATCGGATATTTACGTGCAAAAGACTCCGCAGGAGTGGTTCTTCTAAATCCTGGTGGCCAAAACTCAAACGATTCTTCATCCCCTCTAACTGCAGAAACTACATCTGGGGTGCTGTATGCATTTCCACCCTGTGACTTTGCTTTGAATCTCTTGCGTGAAAGTGCTCCGCAACTAGAGAAAGATTATGGTAAAGATGATTACTTAGCGATAATACTAATTCGTGGGGCCGGAGTTGTGTAGACAATGCCCCCAAAATCAAGCTTCAAAATGAACTGCTTTTGTTGGCAACAATGTTTGTCGCTAATGCGCCACTACTTTTTTCTGCGCGAAAAAACTAAGTTTTGTTTACTAGCGTTAAGCTTCATTATATTATACCTCCTAAAAGGGCATTTATAAAAAAGACGTTTGTTTCTGTACTTGTTGTATTTCAGAAGAATCAGTGGGGTTAATATACATAATATTCTTTAAACTTTGTTTTTTATTGTTAATTAAACGTGCTAGTGAAGTTCGGCCGCTTAATTGATAGTTTGAGAATTATGAGTTGGGAGTTTGTTACCGCTTAGGAAGACAAGAAATTTTGTACATTAAGTCTGTTTGATCTCTTCAGGACAAAACAATGCGTAGAATGCTCCCTTTGATTGTATTAGCTGATCAAATGAACCAGACTCGACAATCCTACCTCTGGATATGAACAAGATTTGATCGACTTGTGTCGTTGAGAGTAGTCTGTGGGTAACTAGTAGATATGTGTAGTCCTGTGATAGTCCTGTTAATAAATTTTGAATATACCGTTCGTTTTCTGGGTCCATTGCAGAAGTAATTTCATCTAGAAGTAGCAGTTTCGGTTTACGCACGAGGGCACGTGCTATTGCAATTCTTTGTCTTTGACCCGTAGAAATATGTGTACCTCGCGGACCAGCTAATGTGTTGTAACCCTGAAGAGGAAATTATATAGTATATTCAATTAACTGGTGTGTTACAGAATTACAGTTATTCGTCTGGTTTAATACTGAGCCAAATATTTTAAGGATTTCTTCACTTTTGAATTCCTGACATCGGGCATCAGGATTTCGGGTCTAATATATCCGTTTTATATCAACTTAAGGGTACTTCACTTTTAGGACCATACGTTGGAATGCGATCAGTCAGTCATCAACAGCGTAGAACCTCGAACGTACATGCGTCAGTTCGAGTTGCTATACCACACTAGCACAGATGCAGTTAGTGGTCCAAATCCCGTAGTGGTAGATGTAGTAAAATTATAAGCAGTAGTCGTAAAGATTGGGGTTTGAAGATGTTAAGTCAAAGAGTATAATCCAGTGGAATAAATTTGGAAAGAGGAAAAAGGGACATGAGGAATTCAGAAGATTAGAATTTGGGAGAACACAAAAAGTGGATGCACCTGCGCCATTGCAAACGATTTTGAGCCATGTCATTCAAGGTCTCTAACCATCGGTTGCTATCATCTCGCGGTCCCCAACCAGGTAGTCCACACCTACCAATATAACTCAGTCCACTTATCAGTGACTTCATGGACTTGTGCCATGTTTTGGTCTGGTCGCCCCTAGGTTTCTTCCAACCTACTCCTATACCACTGAACATAGCACGTCGGGGCAGTCAGTGGTTGGGCATATGTAACATATCCCAGCCATCTCAACTGATGAAGTTTCACCACTTCATCAATCGATTTGCCATCCTTACCTAGTACCCGTTTCCTAACAACTACATTACTTACTCGGTGGTCCCAGGATATACGAGCAATGCTTCGAAGGCACTTATGATCGAATACTAGTAACCTACGAATATCCTCTACTCTTACCGGCCATGTTTCACTGCCACAAAATAGGACAATGCAATACAAGGCTGAAGTTGAAATTCAGCTTTACAATCGACCAGTCAACTATTGGGAGCAGTAATTAGTTTTGTAAGGTATCAAAGATTCGATTGATATGTGGTGTTTTGCGACAATGTTATTGCTGGGACGATTAAACCTTTTGAATTATACCAGATAATAAGATAAAAGTAGATCACACACGACAAAATCAATTCACACCTTGGATAGAATCGATAGTAACTTACTTGTGGTAGGGTCATAATAAATTCATGAATATTTGCTCGTCGTGCAGCATCGGTTATCTCATCCATCGTTACAGGATGTGCATTGTTCCCATACGCGATGTTTTCCATAAGTGTAAGATTAAAAAGTTGTGGTTCTTGATTTACAACACAAATCTGCTCGCGAATCCACCTAGGTGAAATCATTCTTATATTAATATCGTTGAGAAATATCCCACTATTTGTGTTACTACTATCAGCTTCGTAAAGGCGATGAATCAAACATAATATGCTAGTTTTACCAGATCCAGAAAGCCCCACAATAGCGGTATTCTGACGAGGTTGGAATGTCCATGAAAAGTCCTAGTGGGACGAAAAGTTACACAGTTTCATGTTAGAACACCGGTTTCTTTATATCAATAAAATGTGTCTTAAGTTCTGTTTTTTTTCTCGTCGCAAATCCATCTATTTTGAGAAGTCATATCACCACTTTCACCCGATCCAATTTCACGACGAGGTATTGTGTATCAAATGTTTGGGGGAAATATGATCAGGACACTAGTTCTTATTGAATAAGGTAGATTTCTCTATGAAGACAGGATTGTAATAATTCGAAAAGAACAGCTTGAAGAAACGCTTTTCTAACATTGGTAGAGGATGACTGGTCAAAATCTTAGTGAAAAGAGTCGTCAAAAAGGTCTCTTTTTTAATGACTAACTACATTAAATAGGCTCGTGAGATGCAAAAATCATCGCGCAAGCTCTTAGTGACTTTCAATTAGTCACGAGGAAAAAGTAACTCTTCCAGACTGCTATGTCGAATACGAAATAGTACACAACTAGTTAATGTTTTTGGGTCAGAAAGGAACAGGAAAACGAAGTTGTGGCTCTGTAACGGTAAAGAGCCTTATTGCCGGAAATATTAACCAGAGTAGACAGGTAGTTTTTTTTTGAAATTTTACAAAGGTGTTGTGGATCAGTCGCCCAAGCGGGTAGTGGGGCTCGTCTTATATTTTTGTCTCTAAGGTCTTGAGGGAATCTGTCAACGGGAGAATATAAAGCTTCTAAATTGTTGTACCTAGCCTGGTGACCAACAGTACGAAACGTAACCACAAAATAACGTAGAATATTAAGACAATAATAAACATAAACAACTTAGAGTTGACTGACATGAGTTGGTTAGCGAGAAAATGTATGCGAGCAGCAGTAATGCAGCAAAACATCAAGATAATATGCGTTTAAATTGAATATTTTCAATTAGTTCAACCTAATACAAACGAATATCGATTGACTTTCGAGGATTATTTCACAGTGAATGCTGTGTCCAAGTTCAGTCCGCTAGAGATTTGGGCCTCCAGTAAGCTCGATGCTAATTGTTGCAATGGACAAAAGTATTTCATAGGTTGTCATCCTGTTCAAATGATTATTCTCTGAGATAATATCTCTTGTTTCTTTTTTGATGTGTCAGACCTCATACTTGAGTAAGCAGTAGTAATATCCGTTTGATATCTTTGGTGTAACTACATAACATCCAATGGGTAGATACGGTATTGGCCGTATATTACAGGTGAGGATTCCTTAACCCCCTTAAGAGATTTTAAAGAGTTCGGTTACTACTAATGATATAGTGAACCATAAATTATAATTTATAATTAAAATTATAATTTTATCTTATTGAAATATATCAGTTACCTTTAAAACCCAAGATGTTGGCCTAGATGTATATCTGTATGATACTTGTCTGAATTCAATAGGAAGATTGTTTATAGACTGGTCAGGACATAAACCTTCATCTACAGGAATTTTAGAATCTCTATCAAGAATTTTAAAAATTCGATTAGCTGCCAATGAAGCATGCTTCATTTCTGGTCCCACATGTGATGTTCTACCAAGTGCTTGTGCTGCAAAACTGATAGCAGCAAAAACCCTAAGGTAAAAAAGAAAAAAAGTATATATAAGAACATCCACAAATATTTAAACACATGGTTTCAAGTAGATGAGGTTTTATGAATTATTTATTGTAAAATATTTCTTGAACATATATACTATTTATTCTTTTAGGGATTTACTAATAATGCTCATATCAATGGTCGTTCGTCTTGAATTCACCAAATAATTTGAAGGTTAGAAGTGACTTAACGTATGGGATCCGGCATAAATGCGTAGCAGTTCAAGTTGTTGTATGTATTATCATCAGAAAAGCATACAAAAATAATATCGACAGTAATGGGAAAATACCTTACAAAGATTGAATGGAATTACAGGATTATAAGTATAAAAATAATCCTAATACATCATCAGAAATATAGCCAATCATTCTTTCCCTCTCTAAAGTTTATTGATCCAAAGTGTATTACTATTGGCACATTTTTGAAAATTCTTTCAACTCCCCAGATCATAATAGTATGTTATTTTTCCACGATTGGACAAACAAGTAACAAATAGAAGCGAAATGAAAACTAAAGAAATTATATTAAAATTTTAGTCAATCGAATGAAAAATATTCTGTTTTCTTTTGTTTCCTAACAAAACAAGAAAAGACCGAGAGAAGATATGCAATCGAGATCAAGAAAGGATTTGTGTTAGACATCCATTGAAGACCAGGAGCTAATGGACAACTCTTTCGTCCTGGTATTGGGTACTTCATCAGTGCGCATAAATTATCCTCAGATTTCGCCGTAAACGTTCAACTTTTAGATCAGTGAGCCGGTATTAAGTGACGTACATACCAAACCTCAATCAATTCGCGAATTTGCTCAATAACCATCCATTATCTTTGGTGAGTAACTGTCCCATACCCGACACGGTAGAACTCTAATAATCACTTCTCACTAGAAATCCAGGAATTACTTCTTGAAATTAGTCACTAGTGAGTAAATGATTTAAGCGGAGATAACATCATTACAGTGATCATGAAATTATTTATTTATTTTAACACATAGATATTGGTACAAGGAGGCACCAAATACATATGCGCCACACAAATCTCATTCGATATGTGTGAGGGCTGTGATACTGCCCGGGTGCCCAAACCGAAGCAGGTGGTTTTCTTAGGGGGCCACTACCCGAGCCTTCGACCCGAAGGTCTGATCCACAAGGCAGTGGAGCATCGTAAGGAGATGCAGTCCCATGGAAGTCGGTGACCAATTGGTTCATACGCCATTTGTTCCCGCAGGATACTGGAACCCATGTGCACCATTGGTTTGAAATCCAGTTAAAGCGCTGGACATTCGCTTTTCATCTTCTCATTTTCGTAAACAACACCCCCGCCACGAGAAGGTAGTGAGTAGGACTTCCACAAAAGACAAAAGTTGTGTGATCAGGATTATATCATTTTAAATGTATAATCAATAGATTAAATAAATAAAAAACTGAAGTCGTGGCGCATTCAATTACTATGCACAAAAAACC